AGGGCTGTGCTGCCATTCAGAAGGACCTCGACAGGCCAGAGGGTTAGGCCAAGAGGAACCCCGTGAAATTCAACAAGGGCAAGTGCAGGGTCTTGCACATAGAGAGGAATAACCCCAGGCTCCAATACGAGCTAGGGGGTGACTTGCTGGAGAGCAGCTCTGTAGAGAGGGACCTGGGAGTCCTGGTGGACAGCAGGCTGAGCATGAGTCTGCAATGAGCCCTTGTGGCCAAGAAGCCCAACGGTATCCTGGGGTGCATTCGGAAGAGTGTTGCCAGCAGGTCAAGGGAGGTGATCTTCCCCCCAACTCAGTCCTGGTGAGGCCATGCCTGGAGTATTGTGCCCAGTTCTGGGCTCCCTGGTACAAGAGGGACACGGAGCTGCTGGAGTGAGTCCAGAGGAGGGCTACAAAGATGATGAGAGGACTGGAGTACCCGTCGTACGAGGTCAAACTGAGAGAGCTGGGCCTGCTTAGCCTGGAAAAGAGAAGACTGAGGGGAGACCTCATCAATACATATAAATATCCAAAAGGAAGGTGTCAAGAGGATGGAACCAGACTCTTTTCAGTTGTGCCCAGCAACAGGACAAGAGGCGATAGGCACAAACTGAAGCACGGGAGGTTCCATCTGAATACGAGAGGGCACTTCTTTACTGTGAGGGGGTCACAGCACTGGAACAGGTTGCCCAGAGAGGTTGTGGAGTCTCCTTCTCTGGAGATATTCAACACCCGTCTGGATGCCATCCTGCACAAGGTGCTCTAGGTGATCCTGCTCGGCAGGGGGGTTGGACTAGATGATCTTCAGAGGTCCCTTCCAACCTCAGCCATTCTGTGATTCTGTAATACCAAGTGACATTATATTGTGGGGCATATAGTTCTAAAGGTTACTGCTTACAGTTCAGAAGAGAAGGACTCTGATAACGAATGTTATCTTTATTTCAGAGAGACACTGAGCATCTAAGACTCAGCCACTTGTTGAGTTTGCACCAAGTTAAAAGCTACCTACAAAAAAGGAACTATTTCTCTTAGTATAGATCAGAGTGAATATTATTTCTCTCAGAAATAGTGTGTACACTTGCTCTTTATACTATCACAGTAAGGACCATTCCCTCATGACATTTGAAAACAGGCCAAACGCTACAGACAAGATGCTTTTGTTTAGCATTATATTCTTAAGCTCATGTGTCTCTAAACAAAAAACTACATCTGTGACATAACAAAGCAAATGAAAAAGTTTACAAAGTGTTACAGTTCAAAGGATGATTTAGAGAATACTCAATTATTGACAAATGATGTTAAGCAAAACCTGGCTTGGGACGGAAGTATTTACTCGGTATTTACTCAGTATCCACAAGGCTCAAATGACTTTCAGTGGCGAGAATAAACTGAAATCAGTAACATCTCTGGCATAAGAGTGTGATCAGATAAATATACATCTCTTTATGGATGGCAAGTGCAGAATGCTTTCCTATATTTTAGATAAACCACAAATTAACAAACATAATTGCAAATAGCAAAACCTAATATGAGCAAATTAAAAAAAGAAAGACTTTTACTAAACAGAAAACTTCTACACGAGGCTCTGAGGCTGGTAATAACAGAAGTCGATCCCTTAACACATTTGCAGGTTTAAGAGCGAGAACCTGTACACTAAACAAAATGCTTCAACTAACTGCCTCGTAAATTGTCATTGTTCCAGTCTTTCTAGACACGTCACTCCTGTGTTTGTACTGTATGGGTCATTTCCATACAATTCCAGCTTTATGTTCCCAATGTTTACACATATAGAAAGTAAAGCACCAGATTTGGTTCTAGCCTCAGACTCAATTTTGATAAGTCTATAACCTGGAGCTAACAACTTAGAAATTGCTTCTTATTTTCCACAGCTGAAATGTGATACAAATAATCTTTCTCCATACTTCAAAAACTACAAGTAATTTACCCAACTTATTAAGCAGAAGTCTCTCAACTGTCTTTTCCTTTGTTCTAAACGTTTGTTTTGTACAAGTCTCCTGTGAAACCCTATCTATAGCATAACTGACAGAGCTGTCCATGCACAACCTTGGAACAGTTAATGTTACTTAAGTAAACTTCTACAGGAGTATTTAGGAGAAGTTATTGACCTAAGATCTTACAGTAACAAGCTGCAAAATTGTTGTTTCCAGAACATAGCTGTTAATTTGTAAACACAATGAAAACTCTCAGGCTGATGAATGGCCAGTGATAACATTCCGCACTGAAAGCAACATTGGTAACAATATTTACTTTGTTAAAACCCGTCACTGGTGCCAACAAAACCTGAGGCTTTGATATGACCTCCTGGCGAGCCCTTAGTTATTCAATTATTTCATATACCTACCAACCATCCTTTACTTACCAGAACTGGCATGATGTATGATTACAGAAACAGATTGTGGTTTCGTTTTACTGAAATAAGGAACTCATAAATGAAATATGCCTATCCCTTTTTCCTGATATTATCCTTTGTATTACATTGGCTAGGTAGTATTGCAAAGTTAAAGTGATAAAAGTTTACACTGCTCATTCAACTGTTGATTCAACACAGTCTTTTATCCTATATTACTTATTTTGCACCCAACATCTTTATTTTCAGAAATTCTAAATGATTAAATAAGGAAACATTAATACACCAATCTATTGGGGGTTGACAGCTTTTTTGCAACTGCCATCAGAGCCCTTGAGGAGGTTTTCCAACTAAGCATTCCCATGTGAGCAGCAGAAATCAAGTTATGCCTATGATTATACAAGTCTTTCCCACATTGGGCCCTGTTACAGTGATTGACAGATAATCATTAGCACAGTGGTATTAACACACAAATTGTCATTGGTGAAAGAGAACAGTCCTTCAGTCTCAGCAAGGCTGGGTGGTAGAAAGGCACAGAGCTGATGAAGAGAACCCTATTTCCTGCACTAACTCTCAGGTCAAACAGGAGAGTGACAGGTAAATTTGGGCACGTCCAGGATCAAATGACTTCTGAGTAGAGGTTTTTATGGATAATAATTTTGGTCTAAAGTATTGAATCGCTGCTTAAATCCTGCTTTAGAGTTCAGATTGTTGTCTATATTTAGGCTAAAACAACATCTTTCATCCCAAATTATGTTGCTGAAGAACAGACTAACAGACTGTATTTTGTGTGTTGAAAGGAGGAAAGCCTCAGCTATGCAATGTCCAGTCATTAGAGAAACATGTCTGTTTTAGACAGAAAGCAGGGTTACTTTCACTATTACAAGGAAGTAAAAAAATGTTTGCATCATGTCTCCCCACTAGCAAGGAAATTAACTGTTCTGTAACAGAGTAAATAAAGTTATCTTCACATCATATTCCCATTATATTAAAAGGTTTGTTATTTTGAAAATGAGATTATGTTTGTATAAAAGAAAATGACTCAGGCATCTCATCATGCCCTGAATCACTACTGTCAAAATATTTAGTCATGTCTCCTGCCTCAGCAACCATGTTCTCCCTCTTCACCCTACAAAGAACTGCACGCTCTACCAGTTGCCAAAGACTAGAATTCACACATCCTGGTCCTGCCATACCAGTTATAGCTCTCATACCTCTGGGTCTGATGTTTCCATCTCTCAGCTGGCACCTCAGACATTTGGAGCTGCAGACATGCCATAGTTGCATCCTCCAGCTCCCTGGTGTATTCCCTGTTGAACTATCCACAAATTAAATAACATGCATGTAAGAATGATATAAACACATGCAATTATCTTATTAAGAAACTAAGCAAATCAATATGCTTCTCACTACATAAAGCTAGATAATGAAAGCAACGGAGGGTTGTTGAGCACACCACACTTAATGTTCAGGAAACTACCATGTTTCCATACAATATTACTGCTACTGGGTCTTAAAGTTTTCACTATTGCAACAATATAAAGCTGTTGGTGCATCTCCACACTACAACAGAGTATATATAATAGAATTGGAATACAGCATGGGTCAGCTGTTTTTTTGCTCTTGATTAAAGGTAGCACTTTCATATTTATGTTATCAAATCTGTTTGAGCTTTTTTATTAGCATTTGGTTTCATACTGTATATTCTTTTCCAAATGCCAGGGCTGAAATTTTCTGTGTTCTACCTTGCATCAAATTATTTTGGAAGGATAAACTAAAACAGATGCACTTTCCGAAAATTTACATAGAAAGATAAGTAATTTTCCCCATATGAAGAAAGGTTTGTTCCTATTTTCTTGAGATACTCTATTACCTTTGTGCTTTATTATTTGAAATTAAGTAGAAGGGTGGCCCCAGCAAAATACCTTAGTATCTTCTAAGATAATTATCAGAAAGGGATTTGTGAAGGAGAAAGAACTGTGGTAGGCAGACAAGATGAGAAAGACCAGAATTAAAGAAGATCTGGGGCAAAAGCTACAAAAGCTGAAGGTATGTAAGATGAGTTGAAAAGATGAAGGACTAGAGAGAGGACAGTAGCAGGGATGGCAGAGGAAAGAATAACAAAGTGAAAGAATGTTTGAAGAGTAGGAGCTAGGATGAGCAGATACAAAGGAAATTTTTTGATACAATACTTTATTGTATAAACTTTCCCATATGGCTTTCATTTCTTTTATAGCACCTGTCTGAAATTCTGCTTGACTACTTGGAGCTGGAATTTTGTTTCTTTCATGGCTGCATGAAAAAACAAAATCTGCCCAGAATAGATCTGGCTTAGCACCTGAGTTCTATTTTGGCAGGTGAAGAAGCTCGACAATTCACAATTCACAAACAGTAAAAGCAAACAAATCCAACCCCCAAACACTTAGGACTTCAGATATGCATAGCAGCATGCACTGCCACCTGGAGGCAGAAAGCTCCAAGTACAGCTAAAAGCTTCAAAAGTACAGCTAACGCTTCAAAAGGAAACTTTCACCCCTAAATTAATTTTAGTTAAGACACCTACTGTTTCTTTTGAGTTTTTCCTGATGAAAATCTATTAGGGCAGCAAAAAGATGGTCTTCTTAAAAAGGACACAGACTCACGTTTTTAAGTATCATTTATTATACATTGCAAAAAGCTGTGAAAGCCTTTATATCTGCACAAGATTACACATTTCAGTGATCATACCATGCATGGAGCACATAGAACCCATCTGAATGGCATCTGTTTTCATGGGATTTTAGAGCCTAGGGTCACAAGGGGCAGGCACCTATATTTAAATAAGAAAAGACAGAAATCAGTTCAAGTGCAAACCTACAAAGTAGAACGAAGATATCCATAAGCACGGAAAAGCAAGAGATAAGACTAAATCAGCCTTGCTATCAACAGGAGTGTAAATACCATAGTTCAAATTCTAGATGGGCTTAAAATCATCAGGGGAACATTCTCCGCTCAGTAGGCTATGCCTTTCCCCAGGCCCAACTAACAGAATAATTTAATCCATAATCAAGGAAATAGAAATTTGCTCTGAACCTGAATGAGCAATTCACAAGTTTTCAGGCTCTCAGGACAGACCTTTATGCTCAGATACTGGTTAAATTCTTTCAGATGAGACTCTAATTCACCAGATATGAACAAAAGACAGGGCACTATTTGTTATTTGTTAATAACTTGTACTGCATTATATTTTCATGCTCAGTAAGTTTTTCCAAGAAGTGTTCTGTGCTATGCAAATCTTAGGGAAGTTTGAGCTTTAAGCTAGGGTTTGTGATTATGCATGCTAAATACTTTGAACCTAGACTATGTCATTTTATCTACTATCTCAAATAGCTTCAGAAATATTATTTGCATTATACAAAGAAAAACAGCAGACAATAACATAGCACTGGGCTTATTTGACCGCAAGTCCTCTAAGGGTGTTTACCAATGACATTCTTGTCTTCATCCTTCTTCTACTTCTGTTTTTTATACTGAAATGAAAAAAAATATATATTTGTGGGAAAAAATACGTAACTAAAAGTAATGATTCACACTGACAAGAATTTACAATCCTATTCATGGTCTACAAAAAATTGCCTGTTTCTTTTAATTAGATTGAGATGCGATAGGCTTTCCCTCTGCGATATAAAATAATGGAGCCATTTGCTTCTTGATGGACACCGAATTGGATCCTCCTCTTGCACCACTGGAAAACTGGCAATATAACTAAGTACAATATAATCTGCTGCAGAATCACAATGAGGCTTTTCATAATTGTAGGGAGAACAAAATCAGATTCAGGCACAGACAGTTATTTACTAGACTGTAACCGCTGGGATTTAGCTACTGCTATAAATTTATAATCTATGACTAATCTGTGCTTGCTCCTGTAACAATTCTTATTTGGATTTCATGGACTAGCAGGATAGGGATTTAGCAGGCATTTAGTAAATTAAGTCACAGATACTTAGAGCAAGCTAAATTTTTGACTTGTGTCATGATACTCTGAGAAATCCAAAGTCCATGCAACTCAGCTGTCCAATGGCAAACATTCTTTTACTTAAGAATCCAGTTTGTCAATCCACTTTTCCTCTGCTAGTATAATATTTTGGCGTGGACCTTGTGGCACTGCCTGTTTGAGTGATACATTTCAGTGCTGTGACAGTAAGGAGGCATTTCCACTTGGTGATAACTGTGGCATGAGTGAACTGATTACCACAATTCTGCCACCATGTTGTCTAACCCTGATCCATTTAGTCACAGGTAAGACCTGAGAAAAAAGCATTCAGGGAATTTATGTAAACTGATCAACAGAGGACAGATTCCTGTTAGGAAAGAAGCCATTTTTTAACAATGATCTGTGACTTGTGTCGTTCCTCTATGATAAACTGAGATTAGTCACCACTGCTGAAATTTAATATAATTCTTAAAGGAAACAAAAAAACATATACAGAGATCAATTTAAAGCATCATTGCTTCTAAAAAATACACTTAAATTTATATTGACAAAGAAGAATTTTTAAACGAGAACTATCAAATTCATAAACCCCAGACAGCTAGGTTATTTCCTTTCACTCAGGTGCTTCAATATCCAGGACAGTAGAACAGTTTCCTGCTCCTAATTCACTTTTCAGTGTTTTATTCTTTGATTTGAACTAAGTCAGAGCTAAACTTCAACAATCTGATGCACTTACTTTATTCATGACCCAGTCAGCATCTTCGATGGCTCTCTTAATAATTTGCTGTATCCTCTCAGGATTGTCTTCATCTGCATGAACTTTGAAACTCTGCAACATTTGATCAGTGTTACACTGATGACCAACTTACTGCAACAATTGTCAAAATAAGGATCCTTTTAAATCCTAAAGAAAATTTGAGGCACACAAACATTTGATCTGAAAAGGTAAAAAATATACATCATAGCACCTGACTATGCTATTTCCATAACAAGGCTTAGTAAATGTAATTTCATATTAAATATTCTATTCCTTTCAAACATCATCAGCAAAAAACACTGAGAAGATGATCACAGACTATTGAGAACTTGAACTCTGGACAAAAACTGAGGTACCTTTAGGAGGTAAAGATACCTCAGGAATTTGGGAGGAACCTCAGGAATTTGGGAGGAACCTCAGGAATTCAGGATTTGGGAGGAAATTCTTCATTAGTCGGAAATTCTTCACTCAGAGGGTAGTGAGGAACTGGAGCAGGTTGCCCAGAGAGGTTGTGGGTGCCTCATCCCTGGAGGTGCTCAAGACCAGGCTGGATGGGGCCCTGGCCAACCTGATCCAGTGGGTGGCATCCCTGCCTATGTATGGCAGGGGGGTTGGAACTAGGTGATCTTTAAGGTCCCTTCCAATCCGAGCCATTCTACAATTCTATGATACCTTTCTTTACATGGAAATGCAAAGTACATGACCAAATTTAATAAGCATCTCACATCCTAGTAAATTCAACAGCACCTAAGTAGAATGCTGAATAGTGAAGTTTCCTTGAAGTTGTCTGGCACAGTAAAACTACAAATGACACAGAACATCAAAGGCACGAAATGACTTGCATATAAACAGTTAGATGAGATTTACCTGTCCTGAAAAAAAAAAAAAAAAAAAAAAAGTAACAGACAAGGAACTAGCAAGTGTTACCATAAAAGATGTGTTTAGGTGAATAAGGAATTGTTGTTCACTCTGGACTAACACAAGAAGTAGAGATGAAAGCAAAGGAAAAATTGAAGACTTCAGACTCAAAGCAGACGAAAAGAAATGCTCCTTCACACACTCTCAGCATAACCCTTTGAATCCACAAAGGTTTTCAAGCTTACAGAAAGTTTTACATGCCCAAAGTTAAAAGAAGCTGGTCCAAACTATAGGGGGAAAATAAACAAAAAAGGAACTACCACACAACTCTGAATTCCACCAATGAAAAGAAATATGTTTCTCACCTGCCTGATTGCATGTCTGTAATGCTGACGAATATTCTCTTCGGGAAGTTGCTTACAGCATCGAAGCAGGTAGCGATATAATTGCAAAGAGTTCTGAACTAATTCAGCATTGGGCAGCGGAGCCATTGTCACGTTTTTTAGCTGTTGAAAACCAACAACACAAATCAAGATATCCACTGAATTTTATTAAAAACAGCAATAAAAGTATGAAGTAATTTTACAACAACAAAAACATGGCCAGTAAATTAAAATTGAGCAGCGAAACTTGAAAAAATCTTTAGAAGAAAACAACATGAAATACAGCAGAACTTGCTTAGTTTATGGACAAATTGTGGTTATTTGTCACCCATCAAAGTAGAAAAAACAAAGTGTACAGTTCAAGCAGAGAAAATCACTTTAAAATAGTAATATTAAGCTGTGTTGCAATTTAATACTTTTTTTTTCTCTTAAGAAGAAGAAAAAAAACCTACAGTAAACAGAATAGTATTGGCAGCCCCCAAGAGATCTGTTTACTTGTATTTGGCTGAGGTTTGTGGCTTAACATTAGCTTTGAAATTTTTCATTTTTGGAACAGCAACAGGAAAAGAACAAATCTAGCAAGTTTCACCTCAATAACTATACTTACATATTGTAACAGTAAGTCCACCCAAGCTATATAAAGTGCTAATCAAATACTGTAAATGACTTGTCATTTAACAGATGGTTACCATCTGCAGAGAACTAAATTAACATTTGGAAAAAAGCACTTTTACATCATTACTCTTAAGAATAAAGATAATACATAAGTAACTAAATAATGAAGTAGGTGTAAGTCCATTTTAGCACCCACTATGATACTTACTTATCACTTGGATATTATTTTTCTTTTTGCTTCCTTTAAGTAATTTCTTTGGCCAAATTTAGTTCCAAGTAGAATAACACAATAAGCATCTCATGCATGGGCTGCTGAGGTTCCAGATGAGAATTTTATGCTTTTTACCTGAAGTTAATTACATCTCACAGATTGCACTGGCTACCAGGTTCAACACCTCCAAGCTAACAGCCCAAGCATTCCACCCGTGCAGCCACAGGAGTGCCCAAACAGGAGCAATGCCAGACTTAAATACATGAAGAGTTGCAGTAACACAAGATAGTACAAGACTTAGTAGGCCTACCTCGATGGCATTTCTAAAGCTAATGCATGGGACTGTTACACATGAATCTGAATATCCCTACATACGTTCTTTTACTGCCTACATGTCGTATTCAATGGAATTTGAAAACGTTAGGTCAAGACCTCCGGAGATCTCTAAGTCTGGTTGGGTTGCACGTTGTCCGGAATTTCCAGACTTGCCCAATAGGCACATACATACCAGCTGCTCTGCTCACTTCCCCTGAGTCACGTAAGCAAAATGCCAGGCATCAGCCATGCAGATCTGGACAGAAATAAAGCAAAAACTTCTGTCTCTGAATTGACCAATATGTAAATTTCACAGCCATAAAGAAATAAATACCAGTTTTCTTCTTGAGACAACAAAATATTCTGCTGACCTTGCAGTGCCCAGAGCTGATGTACTTAACTTCCGAGCGTCAGTCAGCTCTGATACAGCACCTTCACTGCAAAGCACCTTTGAAAAGCAAGTAATTGCAAGGAGTTCTGAACTAATTCAGCATTGGGTAGTGGAGCCATTATCACGTTTTTTAGCTGCCTAAAAACAAAGAACACAAATCAAGATATCCACTGAATTTTATTAAAAACAGTATTAAAAGCGTAAAGTAATTTTACAACAATAAAAACATGGCCAGTAAATTAAAATTAAAACAGCAAGTAATATTATGTTAAAGGCTGGACTACATGATTTTAGAGGTCTTTTCCAACCTGAATGATTCTATGATAAAAGGGGAGAGAGAAAAACATTTGCTCACTGCTCTGGCCCTGGGAGTTTCTTCTGCGTGTTCTATTCATACCCTGGTTTTAGTGTACACTCATGCTGGTTATGAATGATTCTTCTATCTGAAGAAAATTAAACAATTCTATGAGAAAAACACATTATGTGCCCTATTCTTGAAGGGTGGGCCTCTACAATGCTACTTTACTCACGGCACCAAGCCACAGTACAAGGCTATATCTGAGCGACTCATGGCATTGCTGCTTCTGCTCATTAGGGAAAGACTGGTGAAAACCATGCTGCCATAATTAGACAAAAGGTGGTTCGGTTCAAAAATAGGTAAAATCCTGTAAAATGAGAGAGAGCTGTTCCTGCGGCAGAGCTTCTTGTCTACAGAAGATGCCTAAGAAAAAGCCTCATGATATTAGCGTTATTTCCTGTATTGGGATTGGGCCCATACCTTTCAGCCAGGAACCTGGGCTTGGTCGTGGTAGGTAGTCCCTCTCTCTGTATATCCATATATATATGTCTAACGAAAAAGTTTCTGCCACAAAGAATTTACAAGGCAGACTAATGACAAGTCATAAGATGAGGCAGAATGAAGCAGATGAGCCAAACAGGTGGGATGGGAATGGGGAGGAGGTGACAGTAATACGAACATGTTTTTGTGGAGCCTAATAGAGCACACAACATAGCTCACCACCTGCTTAGCTGCTATCAACAGGCAAGTTTTATAACACTGTTTCTGCAGGTCCTTAAAAAATAGTGAGTCATGGCTAATGGTGGGTGCCATGGAAGCCCTGAAGAAAGCTTCTGATGACACTTCAGAACGAAAACCTTCTTCTAGCCTTCAAGAGAAAAAGACGGCAGTTTCAGGGGAGTACTTTGCAGAGTTACTATCTGATGAGCTGATGTAAATTATGTGATGTAACTTATTAAAACTAATTTAAAGATATACAATAGAACACACCGATTAACCCTTTAGTGAAAAACACCCTTAAGTGTTGTAATTCTAGGCTACAGACTTTTTTTTCCCCCTTAAAAACTCCAAACTGGCCTTTTACCCACACCTTGTTACCAATATGCCATATCATTTTTTTGATTGCAGAGAGCTGTAAGATCAATCTATGGTGCTGTTTACCATGACTCTACCATTAACGTTAGAAAAAAAAGCACTTACAAAACGACAGTTGAATCCCCTGATCTGTAAGCCACTGGCACGGCTGGGGTAACTTCCCATCGTAGCTAATGCAACACGGCTGGCCAGCAACCCGCACAAGGCTCAGCTTGGACACTCCCTTAATTAACCCCAGGGAAAGCACTGTCACTCGGGGGATCTGAGAAGGAGAGTAGACAGGGATCGTTCCCCAGGCGGAGAGATGGGTGATGCCAACGCCAAATGCAGCAATGAGAAGTCCTGTGCTGGGAGTGCCCCACCTGGTGTCAGAACTAACACACACCAAAGAGACAAAAGGCAGGCTGAATTTAATGTTTAAGACAGTAACTCAGAAGCAGATGCTAACTGGAGTTAATTTTCAAACGCCCCTCTCTCACCATGGTTGGGTGTAATATCATGATGTCTTGTGGGTAAGAAAACCTGAATTATTTGGCTCTTGGATTCCGTCCTCATAATCTTTACCTTCTGCCTGTTATCCTCTCCTCTCACAACTGACACGTACCAAGGATAAATCAGCACTAGCTTCCAACAGGTCAGTGATGTGCCAGAAAAACCTCTGGACAGTCCCATCTTTCTCTAGTATCCAAAACTGACAAGTGGTTTAGTGCACTTTGAGCTTCCTAGGGTGTGCCTGCTTTTGAATATTTGATATGTTCTATTAGTAAAGTAAGAGAGATGAGGTAAGACTTCACAATGGTCCCTCCTGAGAATTATTTACAGCCAAAATATGGCTTCCATTAGGTTTCATGAACAATTAGAAAACTATTCTTCCATCATGAGGACAATAAGTTGGCTCTCTACCGCTACTGCAATCCTTTCATTCTGCTTGCTTGATTCCAGTTCTGTTCTCTCGTATTTGTGTAACAAAAATCATTCATCCTCACACACCACAGGATTTCTACTGTCCAGGAAAAACAAAAACAAAACACATAAGGCAGAAAGATTTTACAAAACTTCAGAAATAGAGACCAAGAGCTGGCTTCTCAAAATGGTTTCAGTCTGACTACCCCACTTGCCAGCCCATTTTCCAAGCACACGAGATTTTCTAATTATGGCTCTGCCCTAAAAAGTTCAGCTTAAAATACAGATCAGAACTCCCCTGGGCTTAGGAATGTTCATCTCATTCTCTTCCATTCTTTTCTCTAAAATATCACTTTCTCTTTGCAATGAAACCTATGCTGGACATCAGTTCCATGCAGTTATTTGGTTTGAATTCATTTCCCTTTGGCATTTGAGTAAAATGAGGTGATTACACTCCAAGGTTTGTAAAGGGATCCCTGTATTACCCCTCCAACCAGCAGAAAGATAAACTCCAAAAAAACAGCTCCGAAAAAACAGACTGAATCCCTCCCTACCTTTCTCCCACTAAATGCAGAAGGAAGCGTTATGATACAGCGCCTATAGTTACAAGGTTAAATTAAGTAGAACGATTCCATGTCTGTGACCTCAGTTTTGCTTGGGCATACTGGGCACCTACATCATTTTATAATATTCCAGCTGATTTATTTACTTTCCAAGTGTTGAAGTCCTCATTTGCTTTTCATCCCAAATTAAACTTTTTGCAATGAGCTTAAGCAGGCAGGCTCCGGGAGCTAAGCAATTTGAGAGTAAGCTGCTGGTGTGTGCAGACCTGCAGCTCCACTGCCAATAGATACACTCAGTCCTAATCAGTTTACCCTCAGGCCACTGATTTGATACATAATCATATCAAGCTTATTAGCAAAGAGTTTGTACTTATGAAAAAAGAGAAGTTAAAGTGCACACAGCGCAGCCTGTGCATATCCCTGAGAATCGCGTCCCCAGCCGCCAGCAGGGGGTCAGTCCTGGGGCTGGCTGCCAGCACTCAGAGCCGGGGGCACCCTGCAGCATGCACCTTTCACTCCACCCTCGGTATCACTCTCAGCACTGACTTCCTTCCTTCACTTCTCTGAAGTTGTTTTCTTAACAAATCTGGAACCCTTCTAATATGAACGGACCTTCAAAGAAGATTCTCCTTCAGTTTCTTGCTAGCACTCAATTCAGCCGTATCACTGTGTTCCCCTACCAGCTATCAGTGAAAATGCAAATGAAACTTCAGGAAAATCACCTTGGACAAA